CACTGTACCTTCACGTTCAGTGGAAGAACGTGTCGTAACACCTAACAAAGATCAAGCCTTACCTTCAAACCATTCTCTGTTCAATCCCATGTCACATGAAACACTAATATTAGTTTCTGAATCTCTGTTTATCGTAGTATTAGGATGAATCCAAGCGTTAAGTACCATACGATTACTGTTTTTTAATAAAATAGCCCAACAACCTTTATTCATAGTTGTTATTCGTACTTCTACTGCACATATATCTTTTGTTGTCAAAGGACTCCAGCTGCCATTAATCCAACAGAATATTTTACAAGGAGGTGATTCATAGATTATCTCTCTCATTACTGCAATACTGGCAACCGATTTCAAAGAGCTTATCGAATTAGAACGTTTAAGAGATGACATGAATTGCGCACGATTTATAGAACTAGAAGATGACGGGTCACTTATTCGATCTTGTACTTGATTATAATTGTTACTGGCAGGTTTATAGTCATATTCTTCTCCGGAATCACGATGAACATCACGTTGAACATCAAAGGTTTGCGATCGTCCATTTTGTGAACCGAGATGTTGATTCGGTTTTGCCGGTAACCCTGGTTTAAACGAACCAATGCGTGAATTTCCCAGATTCGTAGGTGAATGTCCTAAGTTTGTAGGTGAGTGACTCAAGTTTGTAGGTGAGAGTCCCAAGTTTGTGGGTGAGAGTCCCAAATTTGTAGGTGAAAGTCCCAAGTTTGTGGGTGACCTTGATTGACTCCTCAAGCTATTAGGTGTTAAAGAAGCACCCGTGTTTGGAGATGTTGATAATGTATTAGGACTGCTGCCTGCTGAATTCAAATTTTTTACATCTGTATTGACTTGTGGCCTCACAATGCCTAAAATTTTGAATTAATATAATTATCATGAGTATGTATATATTGTATGCATAGGTGTCTAAATTATATTTTCGAAAAAAAAGTAATTTCGCCAAAAATTTCGCATTGCCATATTTTTTTATATGAGTCCTCACAAATGACTACACTATTTAATGTATTTTTATATAAGGAATTCAAATAATTTCTCCAATAATTTTTTCACTTATAAAAATTTATTTCGCTAACTATAGAAAACCAATTTCGACAAATTGTCGAAATAATTATTTGTTAAAAGAAGTAATTTAGACACCCATGTATAATGTATTATATGTATGTATTGTACCGTATTTTCGCGGACTAACGCTCATGAGCGTTATTTCGAAATTTGCGCCCCCTAAAACAATATATAAAGCTTCAAAATAATGCCCATGCGCGTCCCGAAATAACGCGCATCTTAAAATAAGGGTGATAATTTACAACAAATGCTCCGGAACTAGATTCAATTAGTATCAACCTAGCTCCAGAACATGTTTTGTTTTAGACAAAATTTTTACATTTGTCTCAAAATAACGCCCATGCGCGTACTCAAAATAACGCGCATATACTTAAAATAACGCGCATCTGAGCGTTATTCCGCGAAAATACGGTATATATATATGTATGTATTTATATATATTTTTAATGTATATATTAACACCATACCGGCTGAAGCGAACTTTATCGCTTTGGAGATTTCATTTAACCAAATGTCTTTCTTGTTATCTGACTGAGGAAAGATGATAATGGTCTCATCTCTCATTATAGTTAATTCCAACATAGCTATAAAAAGAATTTAAGTTATTAATAGATTTCCTAAATACATGGAACCGTTATAATTGTTATAAAAAACGGATCCACCTTACTTCACCGACAGCTCATTTAGCCGACATCATACCAAGTGACAATTTATTAAAATATATATATCTGCAACTAATCAAATGCTAATCTTAATCTATGTGATGTCGAAATGACTGTCGGTGAAGTGAGCAGTACCGATAAAAAAAACCAACCTCCTTCCTCATAACTTATATCCCTTATAGACAAATGTTTTCCGCTCAACGGTTGATACATTAGCCAGTATTTAAAATTAGGAGTATTTTGTTGGTCTTTTATGTCAATTTTTTGACAAACCAACAAGAGATCGGTCAATAAGAACAGATGAGCACGTACATGAAATCTTTCATCACTGTCATACTCAGGAACTTCAATAACGACATCATCATAGAGAATTACTTCTCGTTTGAAAGGTAAACTTGGCGGCTGCAGGATCAAATTTAATTTCTATAGTGAAAAACAAATTTTTTGAATAAATTACATGATCTTATCACAAAAAAAAAAAAAAAAAAAAATAACTTGTAGTAAATTAAAATAAACATACTCTGGGTTGTTTGGTAAGTATATCAAAAGTTCTTGAAGTGTCAATAAAATTTTGTAAATCTAATATATTCCAACCAGACTGATTGTCACTAGGATAGTAATCAGATATTGTGGATTCTATAATTTCGGCATATATAGGTTCATGAACTTGTTTCTGAACCTGAGGGTAATCGTAATCTTGTATCGGAGAAATTGGGGAGTGGAGTCTTTGTGGCATTGGAGAATGGATATGATCTTGTTGAATTCGTTCACGTGAAGGAGAGTAGGATTCTGGCTCTTGCACTGGAGAATGGTTTGAAGGTAAGGCTTGATCTTTGTTAGGTGTTACGACACGTTCTTCCACTGAACGTGAAGGTACAGTG